AAGTACGTCAAGAAGTGCCAGGACATGATCATGACCGAGGTGAGCAGCTCTCCCCCCTGACCCGTGGGGTGTGAGCATGGGGTGTTGCTCCCGGGAGGTCCACGGTTGGCTTCTTCCTTGAGGAAGAGTCTCCCAAGCTGTGCTGGAAGCATCTCGACGAGCTTGATGAAAGGTCCAAGGGCCAATAACCATTTTGCAGTCCCTCAAGCTGGTCGTGCTGCACGTGCCTTGTTTTCCCTGTCAATGCACGGCCCTTTCATTGAACTGGGGGTGCCACAGAGGTTCCTGACCCTCCTTCTCCAGAGCAGTGACCACTGACCCTTCCCTGCAGCTCACCAACGCCGGGGATGACGTGGTGGTTTTCTACAACGACAAGGCTTCGCTGGCCACCCTGCTGGAGATGATGACAGCAGCCAGGGATGGGGTGGAGGAGAACAGCCCGTTGATGTACCACATCTCACTGGTGGACCTGCTGGCTGCCTGCGCCGAGGGCAAGAACGTCTACACTGAGATCAAGTGCACGTCCCTGCTGCCCTTGGAGGACGTGGTGCGGGTGGTGACACACGAGGACTGCATCACGGAGGTAGGGGGTGCCCAGCCAGGAGGGTGCCAGTGGCTTTGCACCCACTGCCTTCTCCTAACAGTGTCCGTGCCCCCCCTGCCCTCCCGCCCCGGCAGGTGAAGATGGCCTATGTCAACTTTGTCAACCACTGCTACGTGGACACGGAGGTGGAGATGAAGGAGATCTACACCAGCAACCACATCTGGACCCTCTTTGAGAACTTCACCCTGGACATGGCCCAGGTGCGTGGGGAGGGATGGGTGGGAGGGATGGGGACAGGTCAGTGTCACAGAAGCTCCCTCGAAGCCTGGGGAGCCAAACATGGGACGTGGGCACCATAGGGACCTGTGTAGCTGCCGTGTTAGGGGCTGGGGAGCAGTCAGAGCTCTCTGGCATCGACCCAGGAGCTGTGTCACGAGCCACTTCCCTTAGCTCAGCAAGGTCCCAGCAGCTCTGCATGCCAGCAGCATCGGGCCAGGACACGTGCTGAGCTTTCCTGGTGCCAGCAGCATCCTCCCTTCTCCTCACAGATGTGCAAGAAGCGAGAGAAACGCTTGCCAGACCCTACCCTGGAGAAGTACGTGCTGACGGTGGTGCTGGACACCATCAACGCGTTCTTCAGCTCCCCCTTCTCGGAGAACAGCACCTCCCTGCAGGTCCTGAGGCACTGCTGCAGCCAGGGGAGGAAAGGGGCTCACTCAGCCCCTTCCTAAAAAGCTCTGGACCTACCTCGTGCTGATATCTACTGCTTGCTCCCTCCTGCAGACCCACCAGACCATTGTGGTGCAGCTTCTGCAGTCCACCACGAGGCTCCTGGAGTGTTCCTGGCTGCAGCAGCAGCACAAGAGCTCGGTGGAAACCTGCATCCGCACGCTGGCCATGGTCGGTAAGGAGCAGGGTGCTCTGGCCCCCACAGCCAGGAGGATGCAGCAGCCACCCTTGGGTGCTCCAGCAGGGAGGGAGAGCCAGTGTCCCCACAGTGTGTCTGGGCAGGACACCCCGAGAGGCAGCTGGCTGGGAGTTGGGAGGTTTGGTTCTGGGATGTGGGGTTTTTTTTGAGCTGTGGCTCCGGGCGTGACCAGGGCGGCGTGGGGAAAACTAAAGCCTGGGCTTGGCTGGGAGATCCCTGGTGTGTCCCTGCTGGTGAAGGGCCTGGAAACAAAGCCAGCGTTCATGGTGGTTCTCCCTCGCCAGGACTTTGCCCTCGGCCTGCTGCTGGTGGCTGCCTGACTCAGGACAAGGGTTGTTAGCACTGAGTCACTCCGTGGAAAGGATTGCTCGGTGGTTAGACACTGGGTGGGGATTTCCCTTTGTCATTGGAGACAGGGTGCTCAAAACAGCTCCATGCTGGGCTTTCCCAACCCAAAACTGGAGGAGGTGCCTCTTTCCATCCTGCATGGGGCTGGGGGGGTGCTGTGGGCAGCGTTGTGCTGCAGTGGGGAGGGATGGATGGAGGTACTCCACCCCTCACTGGCCTGGAGGAATTTATTCTTGTGTTTAACCCATATCTTCTCTGCTGCAAATGAAGAGCTGGGGGAGAGGTGCCCAGCCCAAGGCGGTGTGGTGGGACCCAGGCGATGGGGTGGGCTGGGTCCCACCCTGTCCCCAACCCTGGCTCCATCTCCTGCAGCTAAGAGCCGCTCCATCGCACTGCCCATGGACCTGGACGCCCATGTCAGCTCCCTGCTCAACAGCAGCTCCACCAACACGGTGCAGAGGAACACATCCAGCTACAAGACGGCCACACGGACCTTCCCCCGTGTCTCCACCACCCCCAACCAGTGGGACTACAAGAACATCATAGAGAAGCTGCAGGTATGGGGCAGGGAAGCGGTGGTGGCTTGGGTCAGCAGGCCATAGCAAGGAGGTGCTGGTGTTTCAGGGGTCCCGTGGCTCCTGGGCGTGCACTGCCCCTAAAGGTGTGTGCTGTGACCTGTAGGACATCATCGGTGCCCTGGAGGATCGCCTGAAGCCGCTGGTGGAGGCTGAGCTGTCTGTGCTGGTGGATGTCCTCCACAGGCCAGAGCTGCTCTTCATGGAGGGCACGGAGACGTTCCAGCGGTGCGAGAGCGGAGGGTTCCTCTCCAAGTGAGGATGCTTTGCAGTTGCTCCGGGGTTACTGGGAGTGCTGGGAAGGGCTGGAGACCTTCACCCTCTGTGGGTTGTGCCTCCTGATGTGTGCCCGGAGGGGTGGTGGGGATGGTTCCCTCAGGGACCCCCCTCCCTTGTCCCCCTCGGCTGTGTGACGGTGGCTCTGCCGTGCCAGGCTGGTGCAGCACACTAAGGACCTCATGGAGACAGAGGAGAAGCTGTGCATCAAGGTGCTGAAGACACTGCAGCAGATGCTGGTGAAGAGGAACAGATACGGCGAGAGGGTGAGCGTTGTGGTCCCCTGGCACGTCCCCAGCCTTGCTCCCCATCTGTGCAGCCCCTGCCACCCTGGCTGGCAGTGCCCTCAGCCCCGGGTCTCAGCCCTGTCCTGCCCTAGCTCTGGCCCTGGGACACTCGTGACGTTTGTTTGTCTTGGCAGGGCAACCTGCTGCGGAAAATGCTCCTGAACAATTACCTGCAGAACAAGAAGTCCAGCTCCAAAGGGGAAATCGTGGATGCTGCTGGGGGAGGTGAGTGTCTCCTGCACCTTCCCTGTCTCTCTGTGCTGCTCACACTCACCTTAAACTCCCAGCTCCCGAGCTCAGATGGGATCAGGTCTGTAGCTGGTTGCTGTGGCCTCACCTCCGTGGGAGTAAAGGGTTTGTGGAGGTGAAGGGTGGGTCGGAGGTGCCCTGGCAGTGATTTAGCTGTGCTCTCCTACACTACCACAGCATCACATCTTCCACGTCCTCTCACCCAGGCCAAGACCAGGACTGGTCAGCTATCGCTGCGGTCCAGTGCCGGCTGGACCGAGAAGGAGCCACCAAGCTGGTGGCTGACCTCATTATGAACACCAAGAACGAGAAGATCTTCCAGGAGAGCATCCTGCTCGCCATCCGGCTGCTGGACGGGGGCAACACCGAGATCCAGGTGCTGGGCACCAGTCCCAGGGGAACTGGGCAGCCACGGGTCGATGGGATGGTCCCAGCACTTGGAAGACGTGGGTGCAGGGCAGTTCTCTGTCAGGAGTTGGCCCCTGGGCAGCAGGACTCACCCAAATATGACTAAATACAGTTGCCTGGGTTTGCTGCCTGCCCAGAGGAAGAACTGTGCAGAAGTCTGTCTGGGTTTGGGTTTCCCAGCTCTGTGGCTGGGTGATCCTTGTGGTCCCTTCCAACCCTGACAGATTCTGATCTGTTTTAGCAGAGGACTTTAGAGCCCTAATGGCTCAATGGTTGGACTTGATGGTCTTGAAGGTCCCTTCCAACCTAAAGGATTCTATGATTCTATGATTCTATGCTGTGGAAGGGGCAGGTCGTTGCAGGTCGTTTCTGGAGTAATGCTGATGCCCTCTGCCGGGTGTTGCTAAAATGGCTCTGGGCAGCAGCTCCTGGGTGGTGTAACTCGTGGGTTAGCCTGAATCCTCTATCCCAGGGGAGCTGCAAATGTGTACATGCAAAAACCAGTAGGGTTCCAAGCCTGGAGCTGCTGGAGTCGCTGCTTGCTCTGGCCCTGGACCCTGCTTAGGGTCAAGGAGGTCCCAGTGGCAGGGGATGATCCACTCCTGTGAGTTCAAGAGGACTGGGATATCCAAGGAGGTTGTGTGGAGATAAACCTGCTCCCCAGGTTATTTTGGAGGAGGGCTTCAGTGCTGGAGGCTACCAAATCAGAGAGGCAGGCAGGGACAGAGTGGAGCCCGTGGTGGAGACCTGAACGACTGTCCTCCCTCCTCCCAGAAATCCTTTTACAACCTCATGACGAGCGACAAGAAGTCCGAGAAGTTCTTCAAGGTTCTACACGACCGGATGAAGAAGGCTCAGCAGGAGACCAAGTCTACGGTGTCTGTGAACATGAGTGACATTGGGAACAAGCCCCGTGAGGACAAAGATGAGCCTGACCCTGGCACCAAAGGTATGGATGGGGCCCCCTTGGTAGAGCCAACGTTTGTCTCGTTGGCTCACCCGATGCTAACGAGGTTGGGTTGCCCTCTAGGACGAGGAGACACCTTCCTGATGCCCGGCACCCCCACCCGATTCCCCGTGGCCATGGGCTTTCGGAAGGGCCACGACACGGGGGAGCAGGGGCAGAACAACGAGATGGGGGTGACGGTGCTGATCATGGAGCACATCCTGCGCTTCCTGCAGCTGCTCTGCGAGAACCACAACCGGGACCTGCAGGTGGGACACGGGGGCTGCCAGGGCCTGGGGCTCAGCACCGAGCCCACGGGGCTGGGCTGTGGAAAGGTTGGGCTCTGCCCCAGTTCAGGGCAAAAAGCCACTGCAGCAGCCACTCCGTGCCTCAGTTTCCCCACCTACACCTCCCCCCCCCATTCCATATGGGTAACTTTTGGTGTTGTGGAAGGAGCTGGTGGTGGCCTGGCTGTGGCTGTGGGACTGAGTGCTGCTCTGGGAGGTCACAGGGGTGGCCCCAGCCCAGTTCTCCCTCGAGCTGCAGCTGGAGGGGGTGTCGGGAGGGGGGCAGGACTGTGCACCCCATCAGGGTGATGCTCAGCCCTGTGACTGGAGGCTTTGCTTGGCAGAACTTCCTCCGGTGCCAGAACAACAAGACCAACTACAACCTGGTGTGTGAGACGCTGCAGTTCCTCGACATCATGTGTGGCAGCACCACGGGGGGCCTGGGGCTCCTGGGGCTCTACATCAACGAGTACAACGTGGCCCTCATCACCCAGACCCTGGAGACCCTCACCGAGTACTGCCAAGGGCCCTGCCACGAGAACCAGGTCCGTGGGTATCCCTGCAGGTCGGGGGCATCCCCGGCGTTCCTGGGGCTCATCCCAGAGGAGGATCTGGGGGAGATGTGTGGGAAGGCAGCAGGAACAGGGCCAGCTTTTGGGTTCAGGGCCTGGGCAGCAGAGGATGCTGGGGTGCAGAGGGATGCTGCAGGGGTGAGGAGCTGCTGCTTGGCTAGATAACATGATGATGCCAAGGGTGGTTCAATGAACTAGTGGCACAAACTGTGCCTTCTCCAGGGGACTGGGGCTTTGGGGTCCTGGGGCAGGGTCAGTGCTGTAGGCAGGGCACTGTTTTGGTCCTGAGCTGTGTTGGGGGGTGAGGCTGGAGGGACTGGCAGCACCCCAGGGCTGACACATTGCATTGCTCCCCCAGAGCTGCATCGTGACTCACGAGTCCAACGGGATCGACATCATCACAGCCCTCATCCTCAACGACATCAGCCCCCTCTGCAAGTACAGGATGGACCTGGTCCTGCAGCTGAAGGTGGGCAGAGCCTCGGGCTGGGTGGTGGGCACGGCCATGGGGTGTGCTATGGGGCAAGGGGGCTGCTGCAGTGTCAGGTCCTCGAGTGTGGGAGCACATGGGCTTGGCTTGGTGGGACAGGGCTGGGGTTTCTCCACCGTGTGAGGCTCAGAGGGAGGCATGAGGGAGTTACAGCTGACTAGGGCATGGGGAGTTTCTGCCTGCTCTGGAGCCCTGGGGCACAGCTCTCCTCACCAAGGGCTTCTCCTCACCAGGACAATGCCTCCAAGCTCCTCTTGGCCCTCATGGAGAGCAGACACGACAGTGAAAACGCCGAGCGGATCCTCATCAGCCTCCGCCCGCAGGAGCTGGTGAGGGGCTGACGGGGGGGTTGGACTGGACCTTTGGAAGAACTTCCTCACTGAAAGGGTTGTCAGGTGTTGGAACGTGCTGCCCAGGGAGGTGGCTGAGTCCCCATACTTGGAGGTGTTTAAAAGATGTGGAGATGTGGTGCTTGAGAGTATGGCTTAGAGGAGGATTTGGCAGACTAGGGTGGATGGTTGGACTCCATGATCTTAAAGGTGTTTTCCAACCAAAGTGCTTCTTTGAGAGTGAAACACCCCCAGCCTCGCCCCAGTGAGCCCCCAGCACATTGTGGGACCTTTTCTGCCTGCGAGTCCTGATGCAATTTCTGATTTGCAACCCAATAACCATCTCGTCTGCCCTCCCACTGCTCACCACCCTCTGCAAGAGCACCCTTGGCTAACAGTTTGGCCAGAGGAGGAAAAGGAGATGGGGAGAAGCTCACTGATCTGCTGCCTTCCAGGTCGATGTGATTAAGAAGGCCTATCTGCAGGAGGAGGAGTGTGAAAACGCCGAGGTGTCCCCCAGGGAAGTTGGACACAACATTTATATCCTGGCACTGCAGGTACTGAGCTGTGAGAGCTGGGTCCCCACCAGGCTGGGCTCCCACTCAGTGCTGTGCACATTTTTCTCTGTGTTTAATTCCATTTCCTCCAGCCAGGCTCCTCCCTGGGGAGGCATGGCTGGGAAATGTGCTTTTGGCTGCTGTGAAATGCCAGCCCCTGGGCTTGCTGGGCACCCTGCTCACCCAGCTGTCCCTCTTCCAGCTGTCCCGACACAACAAGTCTCTGCAACAGCTCCTGAAGCCTGTGAAACGAATCCAGGAGGAAGAAGAGGAGGGGATCTCATCCATGGTATGGCTGGGTCCTGGGAATGGAGACAGAGCCCCACACAACCCACCCCAGCCCTGCCTGGAGACTGCAAAGAGCCGCTTCTCCCACCCGTGCACTCCATGACTGGGTTTGGTTTTGATGGGTTTTGATGTTCCTGAAGGGAACTAAAGAAAGAAAGAGCTGTTGATGCCCTTGCAGCCCAAACTCCAAGCCCAAAGGCATGTGCACCTTTGATAACCAGGCCATAGAGAGCTGTATTTGGGGGGCTCCCCAGGGAAGGCTCAGCCACAGGGTGATGTCCAGCTCACCTCAGGGACAGGCTGGTGGATCTGATGGGGTCCTTCTGGTACCCACTTTCTCCCTTTCCCTTCAGAGAAGGAAGAGCTGAGTCCTTTGCTGTCGTTTCTTGCCCATGTACCTTAGCTCCTGAACAAGATTCAGCAGTAATATGATTTCCCTGGGGCTTTTATGGGCATTGATTTGCAATTTGTGGATTAACAGCGTTTGGATGTAATTATTGCAGGGAATCGAATGTCTGTCACCTCAGGGAGGGCTCGTAGCCCTTCAGGAAGCTTTAATTCATTTGCTTTTCCCTGAAACCTCATCAGCTTGGGTAGATTTTGAGGAGTGCTGTTGTCAGTGCAGGTAGACCTGACTCCCCCGGGTGAGGCCACACTCATCCTCTCTCCCTCTCCCCACATCCCAGCTCAGCCTGAACAACAAGCAGCTGACGCAGATGCTGAAGTCCACGGCCCCGGTCCAGGAGGAAGAGGAGGACCCACTGGCTTATTATGAGAAACACACATCCCAAATTGAGGCAAGAGCTGCTGGGCTGCCCGTAGGCACACGGGTGGTGAATCCCACGCGTGCTCCAGCTGCCCCGTGCCCGGTTATTTTGCACTAGGAGCCTTCCCATCCCCATGCCAGCAAGAAGCAGATGGGTTTTTGCTTTGCAGAGAGCTGGAGGTGTTAGCAGAGCCTGTGAGGAGCTGAGGGAATGAGCTGCCCCCCCAGATCCTTCCTTTTTCTCCCAGCAGCAGCGGGGATCCAGCTGTTTTGGGCAGCTCCCTCCGTGCTTGCAGCCAGGGTTGCCTTTGCTGGGTCCGTTTGTAGCATTCCAGATGAGTGGTCGGCAATATTTGGATCCCAGAGGGGTGGGAGGGAGGAGGGGAAGGCCCAGCAGGGTCTAGGGAAGAGGAAACCCAAGCCTGGCAGGGGCAGGAGCTGAGGACAACCCTCCCCTTGGCCCTGCCTCCTGCAGATCGTGCGCCTGGACCGAAGCATGGAGCAGATCATCTTCCCCGTGCCTGGCATCTGTGAGTTCCTCACCAAGGAGACCAAGTACAGGCTCTTCACCACCACGGAGCAGGACGAGCAGGGCAGCAAAGTCAGTGACTTCTTCGACCAGTCGTCCTTCCTCCACAACGAGATGGAATGGCAGAAGAAGCTGCGCAGTAAGAGCAAACCAGACCTTCCCTCCTGGGCTCCCCCCGGCCAGCACGGCACTTGGAATGGCCCCAGTTGTGAAACTGGGAGGCAGCCCTGCTTGGAAAGGGGCTGTGAACCCTGGCAGCAGCCTGGCAGTCACAGCTCTGAGCATCTCGTGCCTCTGTAGAGCACAGCACCAACACCCTTGGCAGTGGGGGTTAATCCAGAGCTCATGGTTTTCCTCCATGCCTGTTAGTGCAGATCCCTGGGAGTCTGAACTCCAGCTTATGGCACATTCCCTGGGATCACACCTGCAGCTGTTTTCCCCTGGAAGGCCCCTCTCCTCATTCACTTTCAGAAGCCAGGATTTAGCAGCTACATATGGGAAATAACACTTGTTTCTCTGCACCCTGCAGACCTGCTTAGGTGCTTTCAGGGCTGCATCAGGACAGAAATCCTGGCTTAAAATAACAGGAGCTCAGTAAAGAGTCACACTCTAAATACTGTGATGCAGCTAAGGAGCAGTGTAGCAGCTCAGAAAACACTTCCAAAGCCAGGCTCAGCAGGAAACAAGTTTCCAGTATGGGTGGGGAATTGCTGGCTGGGTCTCCTCTGGGACCGAGCACCAGTGCTGAAAACACAGAGATGGTTGTTTTGGAGGGTGTGAGCAGTGAGGCTGCCCATGGGAGGTGGGAGATGGGGAGGAGGAGAACAGAGCTGGTCTGATTCCAAGGTGCCAGAGCAGGTCGAAGGGCCCAGGAGCTGAGTGATGTGAGCAGGCACATTTTGAACTTGCCCTCCTGTTTCAGCAGATGAGGAGGGAGCTTTGATTAGTGCTTTGGAAGGAGTGGGAGGCGAGGGTCCCTCCGGAGCCCCTCAGATGCCTGGGAGGACAAAGCCTTCCCCCAGTGGCACCAGGGTGGCTGAGATTTGTGTGTCTGCCTCCTCTCCCTCCAGGCATGCCGCTGATGTACTGGTTCTCCCGCAGAATGACACTCTGGGGCAGCATTTCCTTCAACCTGGCTGTCTTCATAAACATAATCATTGCTTTCTTCTACCCCTACGTTGAAGCCACTTCCATGGGTAAGTGCCCCAGCATCTGCTGCTCCTCGAGGTGGAAGAAAAAAGGGACTTTTCATATGCAGGAAAAATGGTCCCCTTACCTGTACTCCCCCTGCCTCAGTCTCCTTTTGACTCTGAAAGCCCCAAGTGCTTTCTGCTGATCAAAAGAAGGGATCGAGTCAAGATTTCAGCTGCCAGTCCTCCCACTGCTCCCCTTTTAGGGAAAAGTCTCTTCTCCTGGGGCTGCACTTTCCCTAAAATGGGGGAAGCAATGGCAGCACACGTAGCTGCTGTCAGGCAAAGCCTCCAGCCCTTGCAGTGGGTGTGAGATCTCGGATGCAAGATGTTAGAAACCTGTAGCAGGAAGAACCATCTTGGTCAATCCCAGTCTTTGCAGTGGAGAATGATTTCTCCCTTTTTTTCCCTCTGATAACCAGCACTTTAGTCTGTCTGGACAGCAGCACGGTGTCCAACTGGCAGCCACACGTTTAATCTCCTTCCATTGAATTGCTGTGGGTCTTCTCCTCCCAGGAGTGCTGGATTCCCCCCTGATCTCGCTGCTCTTCTGGATTCTGATCTGCTTCTCCATCATGGCCTTGTTCACCAAGCGCTACGGCGTCAGGCCTCTGCTGGTGGCACTCATCCTGAGATCCATCTATTACCTGGGGATTGGACTCACCCTGAACATCCTCGGAGCTCTCAATGTAAGTTCTCCACGGGCTGGGAAAAAAAAAAACAGTGTAGCAGCCTTCACAAAGCACAGCAAACCCCATTTCCCCTTTCTGGTTGTTCTCCACGGGCTGGGAAAAAAAACCCAGTGTAGCAGCCTTCACAAAGCACAGCAAACCCCATTTCCTCCCCTCTCTGGTTGTTCCCCAGCTGACCAACAAGATTGTGTTTGTGGTGAGCTTCGTGGGCAACCGTGGGACCTTCATCCGAGGCTACAAGGCCATGATCATGGACGTGGAATTTCTCTACCACGTTGGCTACATCGTGACGAGCGTCCTGGGGCTCTTTGTGCATGAACTCTTCTACAGCATCCTGGTACAATAAAGGCAGATGTTCGGGGCATGGAGGTAGCCTGCTAGAAGCTAGAAGGGTCCTGTGACACCTTCCTGGGGCTGACTGATAGCAGCAGTGAGAACAATTCACTGTGCTCTAATCTTTCTGTAGGCTGATCTTTCTGCCTTCCGACAGTATCTATTACTGTCTCTCTCCTGGTCTTTTGCTATCTGGCTCTTTCTAATCTCTCCCGTGTACTTTATCTGGGTCAGCTGGGAGACAACGTGAGCTGGTGAGGGCAGAGCCAGGGTGCATGTGTCCTATTCTTGGCTCTCCTGCTGTGCCTAAGCCACTTCATTCTTCTCTGCTTCCCTCCAGTAAGCTGGGAAACTTAAATGCTTTATGTGAAAGTTAGTCAAGGTCTGGCGAGCGAGCCAAGATCTCAAGATAAAAGGGGAGGGAGGGAGGCCAAGCGTTATCAAGAGAAGCACCACGCAGCCTATCTCTGCTCCTGGGTCCTTTCAGCTGTTTGACCTGATCTACCGTGAGGAGACCTTGTTCAATGTCATCAAAAGCGTGACACGGAACGGGCGCTCCATCCTGCTGACGGCTCTCCTGGCCCTCATCCTTGTCTACCTCTTCTCCATCGTGGGCTTCCTGTTCCTGAAGGATGACTTCATCCTGGAGGTGGACCGGCTGCCAGACAGCAAAGCCAAAGGTTGTCCAGCCCCTGTGCTCGTTGGCTGTGGTGCTGGGGCTAGAGAGGGGCTGGGCAGAGCGTGGGTCCCCGTCTGCAGCATGAGACCCTGCTCCAAACCCACCCGTGTGTCTCTGTGTGTGCACCCTGGGGTGGTACCCTTGCCTCAGACTCCTGGTGCCACTGCTTTTGGGGTTGGCAGAGAAGTTGCCTGTGCTGCCGTAGGGACCTCATGCTGGAGGGTTTTGGGGCTGGAAGTGATTGCAGAGAAATGAAGTTTTAGAGCTGTAGAGGTCTTACTGAAACCTGAGGGCAAGATTCAAAACCTAGAAAAGGTTAGGAGAATGTGAAGGGACATTTTTTTTCCAAGAAGCATGAAAGCTACAAGAAGAGGCAGTTGAAAAGCACCCGGGACTGTGGTGAAGAGCTTCACTGAAGCAAGCTGGTGCTCTGACAAGGCTGCGGGCTCTTCTACTTGCAGATGACCCCTTGGGGATGCAAAGGAACATGGAGACCTTCATGGAGTCATGCAGCGGTGACAAAATCAGCTGCTCTGCTGTGCCCACTGCCTTGGAAGGTAAGTGAGCTCATTAGAAAGGTGAGCAGCAGAGTGAGTTGGCTGCCTGGTTAGTCAGGGAGCTCAGAAAAAACCCTGGATGGAACCAACCAACCAACTTTCTGGCACTTATTAAGAGGCCTGCAAATTTTGCACTGACCCTGGCATAAAAAGTGTTGAAGTAGATTCAGTTTAGTCATAAAGAAAGCAGGAGCTTCGGGAGTGCTCAGCCAAACACCTCCACAGCAAGAAGCAAGCTGGAGGAGCTGCTGGGTGGAAGCTCCACAAGGAACACCAGCTCCCAGGAGACTGGCCACCCTAGCAAGAGTCATTCTAGCAGCTCTGGGTTTTTGGAGTGGTCTGGTGCTTAAGCCCTGTCTATGCTCTGGGTTTTTGCTTTTCTTTCCCCCTGTGGTGCTCCAGACCCAGAGGCTGACCAGCGGGAACGTGCCTGTGACACGCTGCTCATGTGCATCGTCACCGTCCTGAACCACGGCCTGAGGAACGGAGGGGGCGTGGGGGACATCCTGAGGAAGCCTTCCAAGGATGTGAGTTTGGGCAGCACGTGGGACTCCTTTTTTTCTGCCCAGTCCTGCAGCATTTACTGCTGTGCAGCTGCCCTCCCTCCCTGGGAACTGGGAGACTTCCAGCTCTGACCCCCGCTGCCCTCTTGTCCTTTCCTCCTCTCTTCCCCTACCACGCCCCTGTTGCTCCTCCTCACCTGGTGCCCTCAGCCCATGGCCATGTTATGAGGTAGCACGTTTGGAGGGGTTGGAGGAGAGCTGTGCAGGACACACATTTGACCCTTCCATCCTTTACAGGAGTCCTTGTTTCCTGCTCGGGTTGTCTACGACCTCCTCTTCTTCTTTATTGTCATTATTATCGTCCTCAACCTCATCTTTGGGGTCATTATTGACACCTTTGCTGATCTGAGGAGTGAGAAGCAGAAGAAGGAAGAGATACTGAAGACCACCTGCTTCATATGTGGTGAGTGTTGGGGACTTCTGGGAATGGGAATTGCCCTGAAGCTCTTCCTCTCCTCTGGGGCTGAGGGAAGGAAAAACATTTCAGCTGGTTTCTGGTTTTCGTTTGGTTCACTGCAAAACTTAAATGTGTTCACTAGTGGGTCACTGCAGTGTGAGGAGGCTTAAACAAGGACACAAGCTGAGAGGGGAAATCATCTGCAGTGTTCCTGGCATAATAATGAGGTGTTAAACTAAAACCACATCGTGGAGTTCTCTCACTCCTGAGACCATCACGTAGCCAGTGGTGAAAACGAAAGTACCACATTACTAAGGAAATAAAATACAGAAACTATCCTGGAATGCTTTTGGTCATCTGAAGGCATCCAAAAGAAAAAACCAAACCAAACCCAAACCAAGGGAGGGGAAAATCCCAGCAAGTCCAGCTGCTTTTTTCTTAAAACATCCCCTGGGTGCATTTCACACTTTTAGCTACACAGGCAGGGAGCAGTGGGAGCAGAGAAGCAGGGCTTTAAATAGCAGCCTCCTGAATACACAGCTGGGTTATTTTCCCCAGTTGTGATGCTTGTTGTGTGCTCAACACCAACTAATTATTAAAAGCACTTCTAGAAGAATCACACCTTGGAGAGGATGCAATTATCTGTCCTTCCTTTCACATTTGGTCGCTTGCTCACTTCTTACCTTCTCTCCACACCTCCTGATGGCCGTTCCCAGGACTTGAAAGGGACAAGTTTGACAACAAGACAGTGTCCTTCGAGGAGCACATTAAATATGAGCACAACATGTGGAACTACCTGTACTTCATCGTGCTGGTGCGAGTGAAGAACAAGACGGACTACACGGGGCCGGAGAGTTACGTGGCACAGATGATAAAGGTACTTGTCCTCTCAGAGCAGCAGTTTCACTGTCACAACCTGCCTCCCGTGGGGAAATATTTGGGCACGAGGGCTTGCCAAAGGAAAGCAGCTTCGAGAAGGAGCTTTTGGAAAATATTTCATAAGGTTGTTGTGCCTTAGTTGGTTGTTTCCACTTTGGAATCTCAGCCAACGCCACATTGTCTATTTGATGTTTTGTGCTGTGTGTTTAAGGATTGAAGCAAGCAGCACAGAGGGTGATTCAAGGTGATTTCAAGGCAAGAAGAGAGGGAAAGGAAATTTAGAAAAGGAAAACTTCAGAACTGGAGCCCAGGAGGCTCTAAGGAAAAAAATAAATATATAAATGGACCATTTGTGGTAAATTGGCAAAGATACAGACAAGAGGAGCTTTTAAGAATTTCTTTGATCCCTGAGCACAGGCAGGCTTCTGGTTAAATCCTTCCAGGTCTCTCCCCTCCTTCTCCTCTCCCCCTCTCCAACTCCCACTCTCCATGGTCCCCTTTCCAGAACAAGAACCTGGACTGGTTCCCCCGGATGCGAGCCAGGTCTCTGGTCAGCAATGAAGGGGAAGGGGAGCAGAACGAGATCCGAAATCTTCAAGACAAACTCAACACTACGATGAAGCTGGTGTCCCATCTCACCTCCCAGCTCAACGAGCTGAAGGAACAGGTACTAAACACTTTAAAAACAGTTGAGGAGCTGTAGGTACCTGCTGTCCTTACCAAAATAGACACTGAGTGCAAGGGACAGGAGGCAGAACCAGCCCAGGCTGGTACAACTTCAGATACAAAGCAAAGAGCGCCTGCAGCTCTTTTGGGGGGAGTCAGGGACACCTGGGCCACATGCTTTTTGATATTCAACATCCTCATCAGCTAGAGTTGAACACACAGGGCTTCCTGGCAGAGGCTTAAAGCAGCTTTAGTCAGTCACACACTGGAGGAGGATGTCAGTGAGCAGAACGAGGGCCTGAGCTCCCACCTCACTTGTGTCCTTGTTTGAACTCTAGATGACAGAGCAACGGAAGCGCAGACAAAGGATGGGGTTTGTGGATGTCCAAAATACCATGAACCACTGAAGACACAGAAGCTGGGCTTCATCCACCTACGTATCAGCTCACGAGGCTGCTGATTCCTGGGTTCCAGGCGTGGACGGTGCTGTCTGAGGAGGATGGACCATGCAGGAGAGCTTCAGACACTCAACATTTTCCTTAGAGCGCTTGTAAGCAATTCAGGAACCAGGGACTGGCCAGGATTCCTCACGAGACCTGGACCCACACGTTACTCTAATGCCCTTGTAGGAAGATAAATTATACAGGACTTTTATTCCTCATTGCAATAACTCTTTATTTTGCAAATGTGGAGGGTTGTATCTTTATCTCCATGCGCTACACCCTGGCGGCCTCCCCCTCGGGTGTAGTGTCAGTAGCTGTAGGGCTGCAATATTTAACTTATTCCAAGAGTGGCACTAGTACACGTGGATCTTTGCAAGCCAGCCATCGTATTTGCTGTACCTGCTCCATGCTGATCCCTCTCCATTTAAAGAATTCTGTTCACCTCTGGGGTGCAGGAAAGAGGAGCTAAACTCGAGGAGATGGATTTGTTAATTTAACTCACCAGAGCAGGAGGAGCATCCAAGCTTGTGTGAGTCTTTTGCCTTCTGTGGTCCCAGGATATCTGGGCAGTAGTAGCTGGAGACTGCAGGTTTACAGGAGTTCACTGTGAAGGGGTGTCCTGTGTTTTAGTTTCATCTCTGGTTTAATGTTTTCCTTTTTTGTTTGTTTGTTTGTTACCGTCGTTACTTAAGAACTGAAGTGTAAATTGCCTTAACTAAATACAAAATCATGTTATAATAAAAACTTAAACGTGGTAAAGAATGCTCCCTTCCTGTGCACTCTGCTGTGTCATGGGACTGTTAGAAATGGGAGTACAGAACCCAAGGACCCGAAGCCAAGGCAGGGCTGTATTACCCAAGGTGCTCTCAGCTCCAGCTGTTGAACATTAAAATGCAGTACGATGCTCCAGGCAGAAGCTGAAGACTGCGACCATGACAAACTACCTTGAACACCAGCCTTGTTTTCTGAAGCTTTGGAATGGAGCCTGCTGCAAAGTTTTAAATTCTTTCACTGCTTGCCAGGAAAACGCTGTTCAAATCCATAAAAAGGAGCAGCTGTTGGTGGTGCCTGGGCCAGGCAGGCTCCTGGCATAGCTGTGCTCTAGACACTCATCCTCCCCTCACCAAGCAGGGCTGTAACCACCCCAACCACAGCCCTCTGCCTCCCAAGAATACACACCGAGGCAAGCATTAAAGCTTTAAAAAGGAATACAAATAGGCCTCATCCCACTCGAGATTGGTTTATGGCCCTATACAGCATGTCATTAAAACCTATCTCTATCCCTCAGCCATGCAGTAACCCATTTGGAACCTCCTCTTCACACTGGGGGACTCTGCATGGGGCTGGCTCGACAGCCACACGCCGCTGCAGCGCTGACTGACACCTCAATTAAACCCCTGCACCGCTCCGCTGTCGCCACGGCAGAGAGCCACCCTCAGCCCTCTCCTGAGCCTTCTCAAAAGGAAAATAAAGGTGATGATTAAAGTTATCCCTCCCTCAACTGCAGTGCTAACACGCAGGAACAAGCACAGCTATGTTTTCACATCCATCATCCCTCTTGTTCTCTTCACAAGCAAATTCACAGCTAACACAGTCGCACCGACTCGCTCTGCACATCTCCTGGTTGTTCCTTTTCTTGTAATACAAAGGGTCAGGTCGAACACCACAAAGCTCTTTCCTCCACACTACCTTGCTCCAATGTGGTTTCAGCACCAAGGTGTTAAGCTATGCCCTCGATTTCCAGGAAAAAAAGGGGGGCCACCAAACACGCAGGGTGTAAGGTGTGGGTCTGAACAAACATGCTGTTGCTAAGAGGAGCCGATGGTTTTATTCAGCATGGCAACATAGAGTGCTTTACAAATATATACAGTGGAGAACCTGGGAGTTAGCCTATCACTTGGAGTCCTCTTCAGCTTTCTTGGCAGAAAACCTCTCTCGCAGTTTTTTCCATGTCCCTTTTTGCATGTCTTCCATCTGTTTCATAACGTCTGCAAAAGGCAAAGAGAGAGAGAGAGATGAGGGAAGAGGGGAAAAAAAAAAAGCAGAAAAGCAAAGGAATGAAAGCTCTCTTCTAACAGCTCTGCCTTACATACATTTTCCTTTCTTGACTTTTCATCTTAATGAATTTCTATTTCAGGACCCAAGGCAAATTTGTTTTCCCTCCAATCAGTCGTGCAGGGAGTCCCTTATCACTAACAACTAATATTCAGTTTCCACACGCTGCAATCAAAGTTAGGAACTGGAGCAGAACAAAACTGCACCAGCTTCCTACACTGCACATAACAAATGATCTGGCTGAGAGTATTTCTGCATCCTGGTACCCTGCTTTCTCTCAAAGCCCAACACAAAGCAAGAAATACTGAGGGGAATTTGAACACTGGCAAACAGAAGCTGAGCTACATTTTGGAATGATGTAGCAAATGTGCATTTCTCCCACACAGCTCCTGCTCTCTGATCTAAAAGAGCCCTTCCAAACCCTCTGCTGTTCCTGCCCAGTGCACACTACAGTCAACTTTTTGCCCTGATAAATTACTGAAGATCTCCTCAATTATTCCTGGCCTTACTCCTCATCAAACACCCCCATACACCTGCAGGGCAGCCCCATCCTGTCCTTTGGTCACAGGTTATTCAGCAGAAGTGATGCAGTGAACACCACACAGATCAGATGTATGTCACCTCCTGCCCTGACTTACTCTCAGGTCAAGCACAGTACTGGTACCTGTTGCCAGTATCATCCTGCAGTCTTCTACTGTCACTCCAGTGAAGCTGGTGTCTCTCAGGCGTGGGTACTTCACAAGCAGATGAGAAATGGAGAGAGAAAAAGATGTTAATTGTAGTGCATTAAAAAAAGGTCAAAATGTCACCCTAGGGTAGAGTCCAAGCTCCTTTTCAGTCAAGCTCCAAGAATTCCATTCATCCACACCAAGAACTCTCATCTGCATTGTTCACACACATCAGAGGCCAAGATGTCCACAGCTTTCCTGGAGAGACCACAGGCCCCAGGCAGTGCTGCAGCCACCCCAGCTCCCCTTTGGCTGCTGGACTCTCCCAGAGCCCTGCTGGGAGGAGGCAGCGACTGCAGGAGGTGACAACTCACCCCCTAAAGAAGGATGATGCCTAATGCCAAAGCTCACCTTGTTTTTGTAGTAGTTGGTGTGGATTCTAACTAAGCTCTCGTACATTTGGTCACAGGTCTCAGGGTCAGCAATCTGGAAAAGGATAAAGCATCACACAACTCTTTAGTTTCAAGCTCTGTAGCAAAACCCACCTCGTTTCAGGGCTTGTGAGGGCAGTGAAGGAGCAGCTTAGGTGAGTTCTCAGTGCCAGGCAGAATGCTGGTGACCCCTACGAGGCTGCTCCAGAATGCAGATCATTTCCTTTCCCCTCCAGCTTGGCCTACAAGGGTAACAGGGCATGTGATTGCCAGGAAGGTCTGACAGATCAGCTGTGAGGACACACAGAATACTGCTGGACAGCTTTCTTCTTGTGTTTAGTGGCCAGCACTAATCTGTGAGATTTCCTACTCAAAGCCCAGATTCACCATCGGCCTCATTCTAACACATCAAACAGGATAGAACACTAGGAGAGAAGTTAGAAAATCCCAGTGCAGGCTAAAAATAATTCACTATTGATTAGGGAAAAGACCCTGAACAGCTTGTGAAGGGTAAATGGATTTCTATTTCGGTCTAGTAAGCTGGAAAGATCCTGCTCATCCCAAAACCTCTGCTCGGTGCCTGGGACTGGCACATCTGCCTTGCAGGGCTGGCTGTTGAACAGGGTGGATGGCACATCACCTTGGTTTGGTGCTTTACAGGGGGGGCCAGCTCACCCAGAGCTCTGCCCTGCTGCTCAGTGACATCAGAAGGGAATGACTCAAGTGGGTACGTGAGTGAGAATATCAACAGAAGCCTGTCAGGATCAGAGGAGAGGGCTCATCTGTCCTTGGGACGTTGCCACAGGTTCAGCATGAGGCAGGCAATGCCTCCTCTGTGCAAAACCAGCACCCTAGGGGAAGGGTCTTCTTCTTCAGCAGGGGAGGGGGTCCCAGGACAGACAGACTGCCAAGAGGAAGCACTGCCAGGCTGCAGGTGATCTTCAGCTCAACACACCTCACAGTCACATTGCCAGTGACCCTGCTAATGTTTTAGTCATGACAGCAGGAAGAGCTATTAAACGGGCAGCAGAAACAATATTTCCCTACCCCCCCTGCCCTGTAAAAGGAGCAAATCTTATTCTGTGTGAATAAAACAGACATTAGGCTGATAAAGTGTCCTTTAGGGTTCTAGTCCTCCCCTCAGACATTCCTCCTGCTGCCTCCTGTGTGTTTCCCTTCTCCAGAGGAAGCTTTTCTCCATACAAATTGCCACCAGCGCCGCAGGCATCAATTCAGATTTTCAAGATGAGTGGCAGCTCTGGGATCCTGCAGCCAACTGGTGCAGCACCTTCAGCTGTCCTGGGCACAGGAAAAAGCACTGAGGGCTCTCCAAAATGCCTGCTGCAGACTATTCTGGTGACCAATATACAATTAGGTGCCTGTAATGGTCCCTTGAAGGAGAAAATGCCTATCTGGAACAATGTTGTTATGCTAAGAAAGGGAGAATTTATATTCCAGCAACACCTCTGAGCCTGTAAAGTCTGCAGCCCAAGCGAAGCATGAGCTTCTCTAATTTATTTCAGCCTAAAATCCAACACAATTACAGCCGTGGCAGGAGAATGTGATATTACAGCCTCTGTTCCTAACAGTATCAGGCATTTCAACTCCACACTGCACTGGAACCTGTCATCACAGTCAGCAGAACACACTCATCAACTCAATTCCAGCCCAGCGCTTATAAATCCACCAGGTTTTGCACCCCACTTCCACACCCACAGGAACAGGGCTCCCCAAAGCACACAGTGTGAGAACTGGGCATGAACCACAGCTTGTCCTATGCAGGAACAGCCCATGTGACCAAGCAGGGCTCAGCTCTGCTGTGAGGACAGGCTGAGGGACTTGGATTGTTCAGCCTGGAGAAGACTCCAAGGGGACCTTAGAACTGCTTCCAATACCTGAAGGGAACCTACAGGGAGGCTGGAGAGGGACTTGTCACAAGAGTGTGCAGTGACAGGACAAGGGGAAATGGCTTTAAACTGAAGGAGAGTAAGTCAGACTAGATCTTAAGATCTTCAGTTTGAGGGTGGCAAGACCCTGGATTAGATTGCCCAGAAAGGTTGTGGATGCCCCTTCCTGGAGATGTTTTAAAGCCTTGAGCTACCTGGTCTAGTTGAGAGGCAGCTCATCTCAGGGACGTTTGATTAGATGATCTCCAGGGTCCCTTCCCACCTCAGCCACTCTATAGACTCAGAGCTGTTCTTCAAGGGTGAGAGGAGCCTTCACACTGGCTGTCCTGGAGGGCTCTGGGCTGGCCTCCAGGGTCCCTTCCCACCTCAGCCATTCCATTATTCTATGACTCAGAGCTGTGCTTCAGGGGTGAGAGGAGCCTTCACACACTGGCTGTCCCGGAGGGCTCTGGGCCAGCCCGAGAGAGGCTTGTTCTATAGAATCACAGAATGCTCTGGGCTGGAAGGGACCTCTCAAAGCCATCTAGTCCAAGTCCCCTACGATAAGCAGAGACATCCTCAGCTAGGTCAGGTTGATCAGGGCTGAATCAAGCCTGACCTTGAATGTCTCCA